TCATCAATCATCAATCATCAATCATCAATCATCAATCATCAATCATCAATCATCAATCATCAATCATCAATCATCAATCATCAATCATCACTCATCAGCCATCAATCAACAATCAACATGCATCATAAATTCACAAGAAAATTTAAGGCGTCTATCCTAAAATCCTAACCGCATGATATCTACGTTCACTATCATCATGTCTAAGCGAATAGAAGAAAGAGGAGATCTGTCGAGTTCCCTCACCTTGGTCTAAACGATGAACTCTGAAAGATTCGCTCTAATCCTCGATCCCGGGTTCAATAACCTCGAGATTTTCTTCACCTATAATTAATTATCATATAATAATCTTAATCAACAAATTATTTTTCAAAAAAATATTTACTACCGAAAAAAAAACGTTAATCGAATGGTAAGTCTTACGGTTAAACTGTCTTATTTTAAATCGTTCGAAGATCTCTAAATACTTTGAATTTTATAAAACGGATTTCGGATTTGAAATCACAGGATTGAAACGGTTCAACCCATGTCACCGGAAAATTTTCCGGCGACGGTGGCCGGCGACCGTCATACATCTCGGAATCATTTAATTTTTTTTTTGTTTCCTATGTAAAACCAATCAAGGAATCCAAATCCGAAGTTATTTTGGCCTAAATCGGCTTAAATCACCCTAGATCTAAGTTTTTCTCCGACGGTTCTCGGTGATTTTTCGGCGATGTTTCACCGTTTCCGGCGATGACACGGTTCTCGGTGATTTTTCGGCGATGTTTCACCGTTTCCGGCGACGACACTACCCAGAAAAGATTCAACTCGTCAAGTGCTTTCAAACCCTTCAAGTCTCAACCCAAACCGAGCTTCCGTTCGCCGGAAATCGGAAAAACTCCATGGCGGTAAAGGAGAAGGAAAACGATGAAGAAAAACTAAGAAAAGATGGAGAAACGGACCGACGGTGATGTCTTCTTCTTCTTTTTTTTTCTTCTCCCATGGCCGACCCTAACACCATTGTTGCCTATCTTCCACTCCGATTTGCCTCCTTGCTCGCCGTCGACCATCGACCAAGAAAAAAAAAGAAGAAGAAGAAACCCTAGCAAAAATTGCAGTCCAATCCCATATTTTCTGAAATTTTCGAATTCTGCCCAAACTTTTATTTCGTTCTAAAAGACCCTAACTGAAATAACAGATTTTTCCAGAACTTTTAATTTTATCACCTTACCCCAATTCATTCATTTTTTTTAAAAATTTTCGTTCGTTATAACAAGGGCAGAAGAACATCGTAACAACTCAAGGGCGGATCGACAAGTTCCAAATGACGGGTTTCGTGATCCAAAATTGCACAATTACTGCAAATGATGATCCGAAATCCGAGAAGGGTGAGTTCCAGAGCTTATTGGGACGACCTTGGAAAAAATTCTTGCGAACCATCATGATGGAATCTACAATAGATTATGTGATTGATCTTGTTGGATGGTTGAGATGGCGAGAAACTTATTTCGCCATCGATACTCTTTTTTACGCCGAGTTCAAGAACGACAGAGCGAGTGGAGAAACCTTTCGATAGTTAAAAGGCCCAGATTCAAGATTATGAGCAAGGAAGAAGCATTGAGCTACATTGTGGAATCCTTCTTACAAGGAAGTTGGATATGTTCCATTAGTTGTCCAGTTAAGTTCGGTCTTTATGAGTTTTGAAGGAGAAGAAATGAAAATAAACTTGTTTTTTGTGGAACAATGTGGTTATTACAAAAAAAACGTTAGATGGTAGTGGATGAACTAATTAAAGAAACATAATTAAAGTTATCTTAATGAGTAAATATTGTGATTAACCAGTTTGTTATTACTTAGAATTTTGTTACACACAACAAAACTCGGGGCCTCTATAAATTAAAAGGAATTTCTTGATTATGGTTGGTTAAGACCGGTTTGGATATTCATTGACCCCAGTTTCCGTTAATTGATCCCATCTTTTGCAAAGCTCAAAAATCATGTGAACCATTTGATTATGGTTGGTTAAGACCGGTTTAGGGTTATAAAAAAAATTCCCTCCAATAATAGGTTTCACATTGATGTTATGAATGTTGCATCCTTAATGTGAACCAATGATCTAACTTGAGTTTTTCAATACTGATATAAAATTTTGGTGTACCGGATTAGTAATTTTGGTTTGGACCTCCATAGATTAATCAAAATGAACATCTTGATTCAATCATTTTCCATTGTTGTTAACCATCTAGACTATTTAAGCTAAACCAAGAAACGAAGTTGGATCTCTCAATTCAAATATAAATTTGGGAAATGGGATTGATTTCTTTGGGTTTAATTTTTAGAGAAATTAAGGGCAGTTCTTGGTTCACATCATATCCTATTGTCCTTAGCAATCTTAATTTCTTAAAGATAATCAAGAACCGATGTTAGATTATTGAAAACCGGTGTGAATTTTAGAAATCCGGATCATTTGTTTTTACTGGTGAATTGACCTAACTATTGATTTTCCAACAAAAATTGGATTTTCTAAAATCAGTAGAATTTCGGTAATCTATATCGGTTTTAGTTGATTTATTTATGTTGAAAGAAATTGGAAATAATATATTGCAACAAGCAGATTATACAAAACTGATGTAAATTGGGTTAAACTGGCAATATAAGAAAAACACGCATTAGCGACAGAAAAATCTATCGCAAATACAAAGCAAATCTGTCGCAATTAAAATTTTGCGACAGATTGGGACAGAATTGTTTCTACACGTATAACGTTGTCGCAAAAATTTGTCGGTCGCCAATCTATCGCAATTTTGTGACGGAGATTTGCGACAGATTATTCCGTCGTAAAATATATTTTAAATTTAAAAAAATATAAAAAATATATTATCCATACGCATATACATATATCTACATATACATACATTACACATATACATATATATACATACATATACACATATTTATACACATACATATACATTTACATTTACATACACACATACACACATTCACATACACGCATACACACATGCACATACACATTCCCATTCACATATATATACAACACACACATACACATACATATTCTCGACCTTTTTACATGATTGACTGATACACATACCCTAAATATCTGAGACAATGAAGTTTGTATGTTTTGTGAGCAGCCGTTATGTATATAATGGCTTTAATGTGTCGTAAATATTGTGTTCGTTATTAATGAAAATATAATAAAGACATTAAAAGGATGCAAACGGCTAGTAACAAAGAAGGAAAGTGAAGATAATTGAGTGCATGATTGGATGAATTTGATGTAGATATCTAGGAGATATGACTCATTGAATGTGGCTTCCTTCTTTGGTGGATCCATTAGTCGTCAATGCACTAAAGAATCTTGGCCAACTATAGAATATTTGTTCATCATGCGTCCATGCTTTCGTTCGTCCAAGTTTGTGACTAATAATGATTTGATCTTCAACAAAACACACATACATATTCACATTCACATTCATATACATACACAACACACATACACACACATACATAAACACATGAACACATACACATTCACTTACACACATGCACACACATTCACATACACGCATACACACATGCACATACACACATTCACATTCACATATATACACAACACACACATACACATACACATACACATACATATATATATTCACACATATATACATATATATTCATATATATATATATACACATACAAATTCATATATATACCCTAAATATCTGAGACAATGAAGTTTGTATAGAGCGGGCGTTATGTATATAACTGTGCTTGAATGTGTCAGGGTCAAGTTTTTAACTCAGCATTTGGTAATTGTGTATACATACACTGATCGTTGTCTTGCACTCCATAGCCATATCGGAAAATCTTGAAACATAGACTCGAGACCCGTTCCATAGTCTTTCTGCTAAAGCCAAACATTTGTTTTAACAAGTTGATTGCTATCGCAGACTGGGAGGTTTCTCTAGAAATATAAATTTACGGAAATTAAATAAGAAAGAAGTTGGCCTTAACAATTCTGAAGTGCAGCTATGGGATTCTGCTTCCAACCGAATGGTAATTCTGAAATCTCAACTGTATCTCACTTTTTACGGCAAACATGTCCTAACCTAACTCAAACGTGTCGTATTTACTTGCACAGCTGAGGACGTTGTGCGGTGGACACACCTCTAGAGTAGGATCATTAGCATGGAACAATCACACCTTGACAACTGGAGGAATGGATGGACAGATCATCAACAATGACATTAGGATTAGGTCACATATCGTGGGGACTTACAGGGGCCACAG